TTTCCTGTAAGCAAAAGAGGAATAATAAAAATTTTCACCGATTGATTTGAGGCAGCTTTGAAGACAACTAAAGGCATGACTCTGTGAATTATATTGCCAGGAAAGCAAGTAGGTTATGAGCAAAAGGGAGAAATCTTTGCTAAGTGAAGAGCTTTTGACCATGTTTTTATAGTCATATCTTAGTTTGGTAGTGACAGTGCTCTTCTAGTCCAAAGAAATAGGTGCAAGAGTGTGTGGAATAGAGCAGGATGTCACTCAACAGGATTTATCATGCAATACCTGTCATTGTTTGTGCTATATGTTATCAAAGGTGAAGGTAGGTGTATATCTGACTTTCACTCATCTGCCACATCGTTTCCAGATTGCACTTTGCCCTTACCTGTGTTAAGCTAAAGAAAAATGACTAATGTTAAGCTAAAGAGCAAAGACTACAGGACTAACTCTTGGACAGTGTAACTTCTATATCTGGAAATTATCTGGAACAACATCCCTCTAGACATGGACAAGTTACCCCGTGTGCTCTGTGCCCTGCCTATTCACTGCTGAACCCACAAGTGCTTGGGCAGTGCTTGGAAGTGCTCGAATGGACAGATCAAAAATGCTGTCACCTTTTGGATGACGTTAATAGCTTTGTAACGTTACGCTGAAATACTGTTGATCATCATTAGGAAGTTAACTGATAGTACTCATAAAGCAAGGAGCTGGTGGTCAGGTCTAAATCCATCAGGCCTGTTAGAAGGCCTTTGAGAAGAGGGGGGTCCCCACTGGATATCATTATTACTCGATGGAAGATCTGTGCCTAGTACATTTTCCATTTTCACAGGTTAAAGACTGAATGGACATAGGACTACAGTAGTTGCAACAACATTGAAGTCAGTTGTAGTTGCACCTACTCGTGTTAGTGGTGAATTTGGCCCTCAGTTAATGTCAGATCAGGCAGCAAGCACATCATTGTTAGTGCACTATGTGGGTGGACACGTAGAGCAGAACAAAGCTGTCTGTGTAACAATGCTTCTTCGTTCCATGAAATGTAATTAATTTGTTTAGCTCAAATTGTCAAGGGACAGATTTTGAATCAGTGAGGCTCAAGTGCCTTACTGCCTCTTAAGATACACATCTGTACCTCCATTTATTTTTGCTATAATTGATAAAGAATGGACCTTCTTCAGGAAGTTTGATTCACAACTCCTGCTCTGTTGTCTGTATTTTAGGCATACGCCCTGTTGGGTGTAAAGCTATCTAAGATTGAATCCCTCTGGAGCAGAAGAATCCCAAATAATAACACAGGTTCCAAGCCCATAATGCTAAAGCCACAATGCAGCACATTTATTAGATAGTCCTCACATTTTATAAAGGAAAATGTTAGAGAAACTCATAACAAATGCAAGCTGAAAATCATTAATTTTTCCCATGTGGAAGCACTAGCCCTTCTTGGCTAAAAATCTGACACTCTATAGGTGAAATTATTTGGTATTCTTGCTTGCTGCAGGAACATATTCTCTCTCTTCTCTTCAAGGTGAAATGCCATAGAAATTGTGAGATCCTGAAGTGTTACAGACCTTTTAGAAGGAAGATGGGGTCTGGGGTTGGCATCTGTCAGGAAAAGTGATTGTATTCCATACTAGCATATCTACACAGACCTTGCTGGAGGATTTTATCATGCCTTGTCCTTCTTCAAAGAAAGCCAAAAGTAGGAAGCACATAAAGGATTTTATCAGCATTCCTGTACTGCTTGATCCAGTCTAAAATTTAAGTGTGATTTAAGCTTGTCCTATACAAACTGTGGAATTGGGAGTGAGAGTAATGTCACTAACAGATCTACTTAGATAGGAAGAGTGGGTTGGGGGAGTTTTTTGTTTTTAATTGTTTATTCTAACTTTGCATGTGTGGGGAGAAAGGAGGAAAAAACTGTATTGAATTAGTTTTTTTCTTTCCTGAAATCTAGGTCTACAGCATCAGGACAAGAGCAAAGAAACTTCTTGGTTCTGAGGTTCACATATAACTTAAGACCAGCTAGAGCTGAAGTCACCACAGCTGGGAGGGCAATATCCTCGATTCCTTCTGCTTTGGCAAAGGACATGCGATGAAGATGAAGAGCCAACCATGGTTTTGCTATTGAGCCTTTTGTTTCTAAGGCCATTTATGGGTCCCACAGTGTTGAAGAAAAAAAAAATAGCTTTTCTTTCTTTCCTCATTTGAGCCTGCTGCARCTGGTCAACCTGACTCCTTCCTGCTCCTTTAACAGTGTTTTGTTTTGTTCAGCTTGATAATTTTATGAACAGTCTCAATTGTCAGGAAAAAGACTCTGCCTTGACTACAGTGCACCTACTTTCAGGAATACAGTATTTTGTAGCTCTTTGTGCATCTATTTTTGTAGAAATACAGAAAGTTTGGGTAAGGACTGATGGGCTATTTTAGGATGACATATTTTTTTAAAAATATATGTAAAATTGTTAAGTTCTGTTTAAAGAACTTGCTCTCAGAGAAGCACTGGCAAAAAATGTATAAAATGCTATTTTTAGATGTCTGTGATTTGTTTGTGCATTTTGGATTTTTTTGTTTTATTACCTCAAATGTCTATCTTTCCCTATTTTTTTTAAGGAGCTAAGCCTTGCTTGTTTCCACGTTACTAGATGTTCGATATTTTTATCCTTTTGTTCTAGCTTAAGCAAGTATAATTCGCACCTCAAGTTTCATCCAAATATTTTTTCCTACTGGTGTAACATTGTAGCAAGGGTGTCTTTATTTTCTTGCCTCTGAAGATGGCCTTGTGCTGTGCTCGTTGTCAGAAAATTGCATTTAGCCTGGATCAAAGCCTGGGGTTGTAAGAACTGCTTTACCAACCCAGTCGTTCTTTCAGAATGGACCAAATACTTGTATGGATTTAAATGAGACATGAGTTAGGACCTTTCCCATGATCCATTGAAGCTGATGAGCAGAATTTCTTATGGGTTATATTACAGGTCCTTCTGTAGTGATCATTAATATTGGTATACTTGTATTTGAACTCATGATACAGGACCTTCAGCTAAACCATTTCAAGAGTGGTAATTTTTAGTATGAATATTCAGGAAAGAAATGCCAGTTTTATAAAAATGTTTACAACATGTGGAAACAAAAAATTTTTTCTTTTTAACTGGCCTGATCTTTCTGTCATCTGAGTACCTCACAGAAAGCTCTGAAGTTTTCAGCTCTCATTAACTTCAGTAGTTGGTTGTTTAACCTAAGACTTGCTGGGGGCCTCTTGATACCCCATTTACAGCTCTTGAATTTCATAAGGAGTTACACGTGTTCAGTGTGCACAAAAGATGGACTTTGCTGCTGTCTCTGGGTAGGATTCTGAGCTTGGAAACCATGTGGCTACATCTAGCCCCAGCACTCTGCAAGATGTTGGGAAACATCACTTCTGGCCTGGGCCTCAGGTCCCAAGTGCATGATAAGGACTCTAATTGAAGACAGCATGAGCGGGATCCAGCCCTGAATAAGGGCTGTGAGATTGCCCTGAGGAGCCCAGCTCTACAGAAGGCTGGCATGGGTCAGCCTGCATGTCCAAGTCTATTGTCTCAAGCAAGGGGCCACCACGACAGCACATGCTCAGGTGAGGCCGAGTGCAGGATCAGGGCCCAAGATGCCTCATCCTAGCTTTCGCTTGGAAATGTTGCCTTTCTGCTCTATGCACCTCCAGTGAATGAACCTCTTTAGGATCCTTCTGTAATATTTCATAAGGCTTTTGTAACCAGTTATTTCTCTGCTACCACTCTTTTCAGGCATCTCTGTCTAAAAGACAAACCAGCTACATGGGAACCAAGAGCTAACCACATAACTGATAAGGAACAGTTTAATTTTAAGGCAATGAGTATTGTACATGTTGTCTTGTCAGGTGCAGAACACATGGTTCTCTGTGTGAATGGGGAGGGGGAAGAGTTGGGCTGTGCAAGCTGCCGAGATTCAGGCCTCTATCCTGACATTCCTTTATTCCAGGCATTGGGAACTTGACCCAGTGAGATGCTGAACATTCTTCCAGGCCACATGAGATGGCTTGAAGTGCTGGTACTGGAGGCATCAGGATTATAACCCAATTTGGCAAAACCCTTAAGTGCTTATCTCAGTGATTTCAAGTCTGAGATAGCATAAGAGGGCTGACTGGGCTGTGCTTAAATACTGTTAAAAAAAAAAAAAAAAAAAAAAAGGTGATGGTCTGTAGTTTCCTTGCGGGAATGTGGAATTAAATATTTTTTCCATCTTTTAGTTTATTAGCATTTTTTCTTGTCAATGAAATTCACTCTCAATAGAGTCATATATGCTATCACGCTCTCGTGGAGCTATTTTCTCAATTGGTTAATGAATTAGTAATGGAATGGGATAACCATGTGGGAGGGACAGTAGTAAAATCACCCACAAATTTTACTTTAGGAGAGTATACTTCAGGAAATATCTCAAGAATGAGTTCTTGAGATAGGTAAAAATCGGGAATTTCTGTCAGTATTAGAAATAAAAAGTCTGAAGTTTTTTTTTTCCTGGATTTGGCAAAGCTAGAAGGTAAAGATACAAACCATACCAAGAAAAGCAATGAGAAAAGTGCTAATCAAGCTCTCTGACTTCAGGGAGGGAGAGTTTCTGGAGGAAGGAGAGGAAAAGAAAATGCAAATTTTCTTTTTGAGCTGTACTGTGTTTAAGTTCCTGTATAACTCACAAGTCTAGCAAGTGCCATCAGTGCATTTCCTTCCTGTTGGAAAGTTCAGATGATAAAGGACGTTCTCCTGTTCCCAAAAGCTGTTCAAGCAGAATCGGGGCAGGAAAGAACCAGGCCCAAAGTTTGCACTGGAATCCCTTTCTGGGTTGTTTTGTTGGGTTAGTGGGTAGGGGGGATGAGTATTTGGTGAATCTGTTGCCTCTTTCTTCTGTCTCAAGAACTACTGTTACGTGCCCAGTTTCCACTGCTGAATTTGAGTATGCTTAAGGAATTCTACATGCTCTGGAAGACAAGTGCCAACGAAAACCTACTGTTGTGTATATCCATTCATGCACCAGTCAATCGACTTTGAAAGTCAAATAATTTTTCCCTCCCTCCTTAGTAACTAACCTTCCCCTGTACTTAACAAGTGAGCTGAAAATAAAAATTCAAGTCTGTAGCGGTAGTCCTCCTTGTATAGTTTAAAATGTGAAAGRCAGGAAAGAAAAAAATCTCTCCTGTGATAAACTTTTCAGTTGAATTCAGCAGATTTACAGCAGATCTCTGTCTCACACACATTTATATATACACATGCACAAATGTGCTTATGAGAAGCAGATGCTGTGTTGGTATTGTTCTTGAAAGAGGAGGAGAGCACAACGTTGCAGTTATGGCATACTGATGGGAGTGAGAATAAAAGAGAAATGTTAATACTGCTCATGCTTCCACAGATAGGAAAAACAAGCTCTTAAAAGCAGGTCACAAATAAGTCACATATCCTAATGCATTACTAATGAAGTTATTTCATTTTTTATCTGTTGAATTCTACTGCTGCCCCAAGAAAATGGATGAATCATTTTGTGAGAACCTATAAAACATGGTGTACTGTGTCACTATTTCTGGGAAGAAGTGGGGAAATTACTGTTTTATTTTAGGAAACTCTAATGCTGAACTCTTGAAAGTTGTACAGGATTTTGTTTTGTTCCTATTAATGCTGACAAATCTGTTGTCAATTTTTGCATCTTCTGGTTTGAAGAGTCTGGTGGGCTAAACCTGACCAGTTTTTGAAAAGTAGACACTTTTTTTAAAATTYTTTTTTCTGAATGTTTGAGCTGAGCATTCTCATCCTAACTAGTTGATGATGAATAACAGCTAGTACTCACCCAGCAGATTTGGTTTCTGGTTATCTGAACAAGCTACTTTTGGTGATAGTAAAATGGACTTAGTTCAGATTCCTTTTCTCACCAGACACCAACTCGCCTATCACATTATCTGATACCTGTAACACAGTGTAAAAGTCTTCAATGATTGGCAAAGCTCTTTCAGTCTGCTACCTTCTCCTGCTAGAAAATATCTTTTAAAGGATGAACTCTACATATGGTCAATTGACTTGCACCTACCTAACCTTTTTCCTTTCACTCTCCTGTTTATATCTTCCTCTCCTCCTCCTGCAATTCCTTATGTGTATGTGTAAATGTATACATAYGTATACATTTGTATGTATAAATACGCACATACAAATATATGTAGTTCCTTCTATTTCACCTCCATGCATTCAGATGCACATTCTTTGGAAATGAACTGAATAACATCACCAAATCTTGTTTGACTATCTAAAAGCATGTAGGCAGTTTGTTGCATTCTCTGTAACCTCAGGAGTGAATGGTATTTTTCCTTACTGTACAAAAAGTTTTCAAAAGTTTTATTGTATCAAAAGGATGACCATGCAGTTGGCAGAATTATGTAGTGAGGTGCAATATATTGCCTTTTAGCAGACAAGCACATCTTGTTGATTGAGTTTCTTTGGATTTCAGGTACAGTTTTTTTCCTCCTTATTAATGGACCAGCAACATATATTTCTTTTAAGAACTTAGAAATATATATATATATATTTTTAAAATTGACTTCTTGGTTTTAATATGTYGGCCTTTGAGCTTTCTAAAGGGTATTTGAATGATAAATATTGTTTGCGTGTGGATTTTTTAAAAAGTTGATGCATGTTGTTTGGAACTGAAATCCCATGTAAAGCAAGAAGGTATTTAAAAAATAAATAAATACTGCTTTTAGCCCTATGGGCCCAATCTGATGGTTGTCATGCAAGAAAAAGTTCCTTTAAAGGCTAAGGTAGTGTTGTCTGAGCAAGGTCAAAATCCTGTCCAGGTGATATGAGAACCAGGATGGGGATCTTCTTGCAAAGCCTGAGCTGGAAGTTCTGTGAGAAGAGATGATCTTCTCCAGCATTGTGTGTAGATGGTCGAGCAGTTACTGCATAACATACAGCACTAAAACCAGTGTTGGTGGTTTTGTATGTGCCCCTTCTCACAGGATGAACAGACTGAAGAGAGGAAAAAAAAAAAAAACAACWAACAATCTGTAAACCTGTCTTAGCTGCCCTTGGCCTGTACCCTGCTTGTGACCTTGCTATTCTTGCTCTATGGTCTCTGTGACACCGTAGGGGAATAGCGACTGCTCACTAGAATTCTCTGCAAAGTGCAGAAGGTTGTTAGCTCCCAGTTAACATAGTTTAGAGATAAGGATGATTAAAACATCACAGCTACGTAAGGCACCCACTCAGAAGCTCAAGCCTTCAAGACAGACCAATTTATGTCATTGACAATGGCATTTACATGTAGGAGATTTAATCCTGCTTCCCTTTGTGTCTATGGAAGAATTCCATGACATGAGGTCATCAGGCCCTGTGTCAAATGCCTAAACTGCAGTTAATAGTGTTGGCTAGCACAAAGGGGTGGCCTGGGTCATGATGTAACAGAACCTGCATTGTTTCCAACAAGCTTTGGCTCAGGTAACTAGAACCTATATACAACCAATATTTGTAGTAGTTGAGGTTT